CCAGAAGGGCTCGATGGCTGCCTCGCTCCGCCGACCTGACCCGCTTCTGCCAGAAACTCAACCGGGTGAAGACCTTGGAGGACGACATGATGGAGACGTCCTTCAACAGATGCCTTTCCACCATCGACTTGACGCTGCTGGGCATCGGGGGCATGGTGGGCTCCGGGCTGTACGTCCTCACAGGCACCGTGGCCAAGGAGATCGCCGGCCCCGCCGTCATCGTTTCCTTCATCATTGCTGGCTTCGCCTCGCTCCTGGCTGCTCTCTGCTATGCTGAGTTTGGAGCCCGGGTACCCAAGACGGGCTCTGCCTACATGTTCACCTACGTGTCTGTGGGGGAGATCTGGGCCTTCCGAGACCCACGTGGGCACCTGGCAGGTGCCGTTCCTGGCCCACTACCCTGACTTTCTGGCAGCCGCCATCCTGCTGGTAGCCACCGCCTTCATCTCCTTTGGGGCCAAAGTGTCCTCCTGGCTCAACCACGTCTTCTCGGCCATCAGCATGGGCGTCATCCTCTTCATTCTCATCATGGGCTTCATCCTCGCACAGCCCAAGAACTGGAGTGCCCAGGAGGGCGGCTTCACCCCGTACGGGTTGTCGGGCATCATGGCCGGCACAGCCACCTGCTTCTACGCCTTCGTGGGCTTTGACGTCATCGCGGCCTCCAGCGAAGAGGCCAGGAACCCCCAGCGGGCTGTCCCCAGGGCCATAGCTTTCTCCCTGGGGCTGGCCACTGGGGCCTACATCCTGGTGTCAGTGGTGCTCACGCTGATGGTGCCCTGGCACACGCTGGACCCTGACTCTGCCCTGGCAGATGCGTTCTACAGGAGGGGCTATGCCTGGGCAGGGTTCCTGGTGGCCGCTGGCTCCATTTGCGGTGAGTACAGACAGCGGCGGCGGGAGCGATGCGGGTTGGAACCGGGGCGGTATGGGTCTGACGTGGTCTTTCTTCTTCTGCCTATCCCTCAGCGATGAACACGGTCCTTTTGAGCAACCTCTTCTCCCTGCCACGCATCGTCTACGCCATGGCCGAGGACGGGCTCTTCTTTCAGGTCTTCTCCCGAGTGCACCCCCGCACGCAGGTGCCCGTCATTGGCATCGTGGTCTTCGGGCTGCTGATGGCCCTGCTGGCCCTCGTCTTCGACCTGGAGGCCCTGGTGCAGTTTCTGTCCATCGGCACGCTGTTGGCCTACACCTTCGTGGCTGCTAGCATCATCGTCCTGCGCTTCCAGCAGCAGAAGGTGGATGTTCCCGCACTGGCCGCCGGTGCCCGGCCCAGCCCCGAGCCCCACGAGGGTCCATCTGCCAGCGAGCTGAAGGAGTACGAGTCCTTCTCCGACAAGCTCCAGCTGGTAGACAGGGACAAGAGCAAAGAGCAGCGGGAGCCAGGGCAGCTGAAGGCAGCTTTTGAGCCCTATCTGGAGTTTCTCAGCGACTTCTACCCAGGTGAGGTGGTCACGGTGGCTGTGGTGACCCTGATGGTGTCCGCCATCTGCCTCTGCTCCGTCCTGGTGTTTGGCAGCACTCACCTTCACCTGCCCACCTGGAGCTACTCCCTGCTGCTGGTCCTCTTCAGCCTGGGCTTCCTGCTCAGCCTCCTGCTCATCTGGGCGCACGAGCAGCAGCGCGGCACGCAGACCTTCCAGGTACGCCCCGGGGGCCGGCTGGGACTAGTCCTTCTGCTGGGGTCGGTGGGGTGGGAGCAGCTCGGATGGACCCACGGGACGCCCCGGTCACAGCAGTCTGGTGAAAGCACCGCAGCTGCTGAGAGAGGAGGAGGAAGAGGAGGAGGAGGGTGTCAGCGAGCACTGTGTGTTGGTGCCTGCGGTGTCTGTCTGCACGGTCACCGGTCCCCAGGAGGGGACATCCCCAGCAGCTCTGTGTCCATCCCACCAGATTTCTCCTGCCCGCCCTGGGCTCCCTCTTCTGCGTCCCCACGACCCCCCGCTCCCCTCCTGCCCATCCCAACTCCTTCTGCTTTTGGCCTGCCCTCGAGCTACGCGGTGGAGGTCTTTTCTTCAGCCTCCAAACCACTTTTGTGCTTTCTGTGCCCCGCTCCCCTCCAGTTTCCAGCCTGTCTGGGCCCCGGTGCTGTGCAGCCGTGTGGACAGTGACACTGGTGGTCACACCCCACTCCGTCCTGGTGTTTGGCAGCACTCACCTTCACCTGCCCACCTGGAGCTACTCCCTGCTGCTGGTCCTCTTCAGCCTGGGCTTCCTGCTCAGCCTCCTGCTCATCTGGGCGCACGAGCAGCAGCGCGGCACGCAGACCTTCCAGGTACGCCCCGGGGGCCGGCTGGGACTAGTCCTTCTGCTGGGGTCGGTGGGGTGGGAGCAGCTCGGATGGACCCACGGGACGCCCCGGTCACAGCAGTCTGGTGAAAGCACCGCAGCTGCTGAGAGAGGAGGAGGAAGAGGAGGAGGAGGGTGTCAGCGAGCACTGTGTGTTGGTGCCTGCGGTGTCTGTCTGCACGGTCACCGGTCCCCAGGAGGGGACATCCCCAGCAGCTCTGTGTCCATCCCACCAGATTTCTCCTGCCCGCCCTGGGCTCCCTCTTCTGCGTCCCCACGACCCCCCGCTCCCCTCCTGCCCATCCCAACTCCTTCTGCTTTTGGCCTGCCCTCGAGCTACGCGGTGGAGGTCTTTTCTTCAGCCTCCAAACCACTTTTGTGCTTTCTGTGCCCCGCTCCCCTCCAGTTTCCAGCCTGTCTGGGCCCCGGTGCTGTGCAGCCGTGTGGACAGTGACACTGGTGGTAACACCACCTCCGTGCCGTGCCCTTGCCCCGGCTTCTCCAGGGAGGACCACGTTGGCTCTGGATTGCTCTGGGAGCTTGTCTGGTGCCTCTGGGCTGTTCGGAGAGCCCAGGCCCACCCCGCCAGCCCGGATCCCAGCTCCTGGCTCCCTAACTGTCTGTTGTTCCTTTTGGCTGACTTTTTCCCAGTAAAAATGTCATTTTCAGGAAGCCCTTTGTCCACCCCATTTACCAGTGCTGGCTTTTGTCTTTATGGCTTTAAGGATGGGGAACGTGGGCCTGCAG